GTGTTGTTTATGTTGATGCGAGGGTTGTATCGTGGGTTGGGACGGGGGGGCGGGGGGGCGGGGGGGGGGGGGGGGGGGAATACAAGTTGCAGGTGGCGTTGACGTCTCCATAAGAGATTAGTTTAGGCCATAATCTAAAGAAATGATAGATGAAGCAGTATTTCTATTTTACTCCCAAAATGATGTCTGGATCAGTGCTGACGTGCCGCTTTTGTCTGATTTCCAGTCCATCCTTACTCTGAGCATGTCCTACATGGTGGGTACCATCGCCAGTTTCCACAAAACCGAGGCCGTGATCATGGCGGTGGGAATCACTGCCTTCGTCTGTTTTACGGTGGTCATTTTCTCCATGCAGGTTCGTATCCCTCAGCATCCCCACTTGTGAGTTACAGACTCTCTCAGAGAAATTGCAGTGCTCTGACTGTTAATCTTGTTTGTGGCCCACAGACCAAGTATGACTTCACTTCCTGTTACGGCGTGCTTTTTGTTTGTTTGCTGGTCCTGATTCTCTTCAGCATCCTCTGCATCTTTCTGCAAAACAACATCCTGCAGATTGTCTACGCCGGACTGGGAGCTTTGCTCTTCACAGCAGTGAGTCCTTTTGTTTTCTCACATATTCGTACTAAATAAGATGTATCTAATCCTCTGTTTTATGGCTGTTTGGTGCTGCTGGTTAGCCAACCTTCTGCTGAAAGAAATCAGATTTTTTTTTTCCTATTTAATGTTATGACGGTTTTGATTGTAAAACGTAGGTCAGCCATTCTTCGATCATTTCAGAACAGATGGCTTTATCTTAGGTTTGTCCATTCATCTTTAACTTTAAATCTAAACATATCTTTAAATACTTTTTAAAAAACATTTTGTAAGCATAATTTCTACTTTTCTACTTTGAGTAGATTATTTAAAGCAGTTGTTTAAAGTGTTTTCAGCTTCTAACCCAAAATAGCTGCTGCGGAGACCTGGAACTAAAAGCTGTGTATGGATTATTTTACTTCTGCAATGTTTAGTGCATTTGCAGTTTTTGTCTTTTTGGGAAATAAAACTACCTTCATTCACTCACTGATGGATAAAGATCATTTCACCCATTCGCCATTTTGATCCTTTGTGGTTTTGACCATTTCATTCCAAAAATTTGAGGGTACCAAAAGGTCTACGGTGTTCTCTAATAAAGAAATGTGGCGATATGACTTACCATTACATAAAAATATTTACTAGTAAAGAAATATTATTTATAGATATCTGCCAGCAGGAAGTGTCTCCACTTAATTTTTGTTTGATCAGAAGTCCTAATCTCCCACATATCAAGAGTCAAATAGACTGAAATGTGTGGAATAAAATGCTTCAGCATTAAAACATTTCTTTGTTTTAAGGTTTTGGATGCACCTTTACCAAGGACGCAAAGAAGTCTGTAGTCTGTGTTTTATGTTTTCTACTTTGAATTTCAGTTTTTTCTGTCTTATTTCCCTAATCTGTTCACTCAGTATGGAACATTTAAAACTGTCAGACTAAAACCTCAGAAAGTCTTGATATTAGCTTTCCAACTCTGTGGCCACAACTTCTGCAACTATGTTGTCTGGCATGTTGTATTTTACGCAACAAATTGTGCAAAGACAGATTTGACTTTTAGTTTTTCTTTGAATTTGTTTAGTTTCTCTTTGGAATAATAATATTATCTAGATTTTTCATCTGCCTCCGACTGACTGACGGGATCAAGAAACAAAGCAGACGTCTTCCCTGTCAACACAAATTTTAATCTTAAAAACACTAGTATTTTCTGAATCTGTAATTGCTTGTCACTTTCAAAACAATTTAAAGGTTATTAACACAGAAAATAACGGTGGGAGGCAAGAAAATACCAAAGTACATCCCCTAACCTGTCGGATAAGCTCCGTGTTCAATATTAAGGGACTTCTGAAGGGAAATAGTTGCATTTGGTTTTATTTAAGGTTACTGGTTTAAAAAAAACATCCCCTTGTTCTATAATGCCTCCTACAGAGGATCTGGGCTAGTTTTATACTAGCGCTAATGTTTGACCGTGACATATGCAACGTGCCAATTCAATGCTATTAAGCTAAGCGGAAATTGTCTGAGCTGTAAAGATAGAAGTGCCCATCTATTAAATTCAATTCAGTTCAGTATTTATAAGTGTGGTAAACACGGACTGAACGGCTTCGGTCACTTCGCTGCCATTGCTAAAACTACAACTCTAAAACCGCACAGAAAATCGATGTCATCACTTCTTCTGTCCTCTGATTGGCCCGGTAGAAATTCTACCAGTAGAATCCAAGTCAGTGACAAAAAGCTCTGCCAAGCAATTTCATAAGTTATGTTCATTACCTTTTTACACAGTATATTTAGATGTATAGTTAGGCTTTGACATGTTTAGATGAGCTACATGAAAGCTTGTTTGACCGACGTTGAACTTCCTTGTGCCTTTCAGTTCCTGGCTGTGGACACCCAGCTGCTGCTTGGCAACAAGGAGCTGGCTCTGAGCCCAGAGGAATACGTCTTTGCTGCTCTCAACCTGTACACGGACATCATCAACATCTTCCTCTACATCCTCGCTCTCGTCGGAAGAGCCCGAGGCTGAGCGGAGGGGAGTGTCCGACAGCGACTGAGGCGGAACATTGTTTGGAATTTGCATAAAGAAGCGAGTTTCCATAATCAAAGCTTTTGACTTGCTTTCTAGTGTGTATTTAACATATGGTTAAAGGCTGCTTTTGGTTCATCCAGTGTAAATGCTTCTCTTTAATTGATGCTGTCAGTAGTGTTTTGTTGACAACTGAAGTTTTCATTGTTAAACTTGTTTTAAAATCATATTTTTGTTTAAGGGGAGATCTGATAAAAGCTCAGCTGGCGAGCATCTAATGACGGCTTTCACATTTAAGGAGTGTAAATAGGCCGGTGTGCTTGATGCAGAGTTTTCCTCTGGTATGCCTGTATGAAGTCTAAAATGATTTAGTCACCAACCAAAGACCATGAAAATCATAATCTATCAGATCAAGGTTGATGTTTTGCTGAAGCCGTCTGTAGGAATACGAAGGGCTAAATTGGCTAAATTGTGAGAACCGAGTCTCTGAGGCCAATCTGCTAAAAAAAAAAAAAAAAAAAAACCTTGTTGAAAAGTGACTACAAAGTGGTCGTTGTGATATATTTCTCTTCTGTCTTTTCCAAAGTACTGTTTGAAATTCACTATGCTCTAAAGTCTTAAGTACTTTTGTAAACCTGATGTCTGTCCTTTATATGGAATAAAGTTTAAAAAATGCCTTCTACCAGAGTCTGTAATCATGTTTTGATTCAAAATGTCCCTGGAGATTCAGCTGCGCTCTTGAGGAGTTGTGGGTGCTCAGCTCTGTGTCCTAGAGCCTCAGGATGAGTCTAGAACAAGCTGCTGCAGCCCTGCTTGTCAAAAACGATCAACTTAAGCGGGAGATTGAGCACCTGAGATCTTTAGTGAGCCTGCTCCAGGAAAACCAGATGCTGACATCCAGGACGCACAGCAGCAGCGATTCCACACTGACTGACTTGACAGGTAAGTTTCCTCTTCTGCCGCCAGGTGGCAGCCTTGGCTTGTTCTAGAATGGGTGGATACAACCCTTTAATTATGTAGTGGCATGTTTTATTTAAAATTGTAACAGCGTGGCTTGTTTGATGAGGTAAAAATGGGACTGTAAATTACAGCTTTAATGTGGCTGATGCTATGAAGCATAATCTAAACTTTAAGGACTGACCTGGAAAAAAAAAAAAAAAAGTATGTTTCTTAGCAACACAAAATTGATTCATTTTTTTTCCCTAGTATAAAATGTAATGTTTTTTTTTTTTTTTTTTTTGCAAATATTTAATTTACTATAAGATGGATATTTAGATGGACAAAGGCAAACCAATAATTAACATAGAAACATACAACACAAAACATAGTTTATGGGCAACAACAGCTTTCATTTGTCAGAAAATAACTTTTTAAGGTTTTATGCTCATTATCAGGATTTTTACTCATAATTTTTATTTTTAACAGAACTAAATATTTAGTTAGTTAAACTGTTTTATACCAACTATGAAAGCTATTTTAAAGACTATTTTTAAAGACTTCAGGCTTCAGTGCCTCATTCCGTTCTAACACTTCATTGATATACATGTTCCCTTAATTAAAGATTGGGTTTTACAGGACTCTTATTACTTGTAGATTATCGTTAAGACCCCCAACACTAAGGCAAATTAAACTGATAAACTTAGAGAGCATAGATCTAACCATGCCCACACATGCCTCTGTTTGAAAACTTATCAAAATTTGGTTATTTCTTAACACCAGGATCTAAGCACTCGGACCGGTGGCACAGCAGCATTGACGAGCAACAGTTCATGAGAGACCTCCATCAGAACAGACCCAACATGAATTTCAGAACATCGTCTCCTGTCAACTTCAAATCCAACATGAATTTCAGAACATCGTCTCCTGTCAACTTCAAGTCATTCCTCCAAAGTTCGGTGCTGAAAAATGCTGAAGAGGCAGAAGAGCTTCATAGCCAGGCTGATGTTCCTCCTTTTGCCTTAGGTCTCACCTTTTACTGTGATTTTAAAGCAATAATTATATATTATTTGCATTTAAAAAAAAAATTAATTATTCATTTTCAGGTCATCCAAGGCTGCTTGGTGAGATTGCCTATCAGCTGGATAGGAGGATCCTGTCGTACGTGTTCCAGGCTCATCAGAGGCTCTATGGTTTCATACTCCTCAACATACCACAGAGGATTGTCGAGGTAACGCCTGTCTCAGAGAGAAACCTGCAGCCTACAGGGGAATTTATTTTGATCAAGTTCAGCTAAGAGTGAAACTAAAAGGTTTTTATTTGGCTCAAGAGCTTCCAAATTTCACTACATTTTGAAAGTCGGCGCAGACTGAAAAATGCCCAAAGTAAACACCAAGCAGGAAGTAATAGATCTTCCTTCCTCCCTTGCAGGTGAGCACTCACCCTCTGACGGGGCATATGGACGAGGCGTACCGGCTCTATCTCTCCAACAGGTTCACAGACCTCATGGAGTCGCTCGGCAAGCTGGGGTACAAACTGGCTCTCCACGCTCCGTTTTGTGAGTTTATTGTCAATTCGTATGGAATCCTAAAGGAGAGGCCGAGAAAAGGCAGCAGCCAATGGGCTGAGTACAACAATCCAGATTTTCTGATAAAGATGATAGAGAACATTGCTCCACGAAGACTGCAGAAAGACATGCTGCTGGTGCTCTCGTGCCTCTGTTACCTGTCAACAAAGGACAAGAAGCCCCTCCTTGCGTGGTAATCACCTGATCCTGTGAAAATTTAAATCTTTCTGAAATAAATGGTGAGATGTGAGAAATACTGTATTGACATTTTAGCTTGCAGAATGAATACTTTTGCCGCACCACAAGCAGATTGGCTTAAGTTGCACACAGTTAGCACAGATACAACATACTGTATTGAAGGATTTCTTATGCACTGCAAACGTTTTCCCAGCCTTTGAACTTTGTTGCATTTTGTCAAGTTACCACCACATACGATGATTTCAACACAAAATGGTGGATAATTTAAAAAAGAGAACTTTGAAAAAGTTTTTCCATGTTAGGGTTAAAAAAGTGTGGCATGCCTTTGCATCCAGATCACATTTTTCTGTAAATACAGCTGCAAGTCTTTCACAGCTCCTACCATTTTTTTTGACAGGATTTGTTAGAAAAAGATATAAATACTTTTGCAGCACACTGTTGTCTTCAAGGCATAACATTTTTTAAACACATCTAAGTCCAGGCAACATGCCTCCCCAGATGGCTTGTTTCTAACATAGATAAGTTAAGGACGTGGGGAAAAACACTTTTGTTATCGTTATATATGCTTTCTAAACTTTAAAAATAGATCTTTGAATGTAAACTTGATATTTGCAAAGGTGACTTTCCCAAGAGTTCTCCATATTGGAAACTATTTATTTAGAAAGAAATTTCACTAAATTACGGAATAAGACCAACACTTGTTATTAAGAGTTTATTATAAGACAGAGACTTTTTTTTATTTTAGCATATATTTTCTATTTTTTTAGAAACTATATTTAAAGAGAAATGTAAGAAAGTGTTCAGTATTGTGCAAGATTCTCAGTGATACTTAGATTAAAAAAACATGTAAATTCCTTTCCTTAGATGTAAAAATCAACCTCTATTCATAGATTTAGAAAGTAAAGAGTAGACATTTCCCCATTTCAATGCAAAACGTCGTACATTACGTTTGGCAGTGAAGTGGAACCTTGTTTCATTTGACACAAGTAAATATCAATATTTATAAGGGCAATATGATGAGAAACTGCCCAGTTAGATGCTGAAAGGTTCACCTGAGCAGTTTCAGAAATGTTTTAGTATCCAGAGGAAACCAGCAAAATACTACTTTCTGTCACATTTTTAGAAATTAATAGAATATAATATGCGCTATTGATTAAAAATGGGGAAATTGCTTATTTGCTGACAAGCTTCGCATCCTAGAGTTTAAGTATTAGTAAATACAAACAACCATTAGCGATATTAAATTAATCTGGAAGAAAATAGCACAGTTACAGATTTGATTATATCTTAATAGGACATGAATTAAGGGAGTCAAGATAGCAAAAAGAGAAACGACAGAAACAAAGGAGCCTTGGGTTGATATCTGATTATTTTATGAGCAGTGGAAAATGATAGGGTGTTCGGACTATCCGTGCTACCTACCTCGTCAGATTTTCCTACCGTAGCACGGATGGAGAGTTAAGTCTATCTGTCAGTGCTACGCATCCAAAACTGCTACCGTCATGTTTACAGACAGAAAACTATAGCGGGTTGTGTTAATGTTAAATATAATGGATAACATTATTTGAGTGATGGGACTGAAGTGGAAGCTTAGGAGTTATGCTTAGCTTAGCATTGGAACAATGTATATAGATGACGAAATCACCTTCATCTGAACATCCTACCCATTAAAAATGAAAAGCTGTAGATGTAAGCACTAATAATTTTATTAGAATATCCTACCTGTTAAAAAAAAAATTAAATACAAAGGCCTTTGTAAGAACAAAACAGTATCAGACAGGGGAGACAGGGTTTTATTGGAATTAAATTAAAGACAAATACAGATCACTGCAACTCTTTTGTGTGCATTAATACATTGTATGACAGACTTTATTAAATACAGCGCAGCCACAATGCGTCCACTGACCTGCGCAGGTCACTGAAATGACAGGATATGATTCATGTACACTAATATTACATGGTTATTACAGCTTCAATCCCAAATAGTATTGCTATAAACACCTGTTTAGCAAAGTTTAATAATAAAAAGAGTGTAATTAAACTAAAATATTTTAAAATATAGGGACAAAATAGCCCAAAAAACAACATATTTTGTCCTAATTAACCGCCAAACGAACGACTTTGCAGACGGCAAAACTGATGTCATTTATAAGCTGCCTGTCATGTAAACTAAAAACATGAAGTAATACAGCAGCTTCATGAAAACCAGGTATAATATAAATTAAATAAAGCTTACCATAATCTGCCATGAAATAAAACACATGAAACAAAACTTCCACAGGTAGGACGTATTTATAAGAAATCTGCTGAGCCAGCAGTATGCCATGTGGCGCATTACCACCTGTGCGCCACATGGCATAGGTGCCAGTTTTCTGTCAGTGTTCTATCTAGTCAGAACACCGACCGTCTAGCACAGATAGTCAGAACACCGGGAGAAACGACGCCTCCTCTGGCCATCAGTACAGGAGGCGCGGGCACAGGGCAAAACGGCCTTTCAGCGCTGGACGAGCCTTCATCAACGCTGGTGAGATCTTCCCTCCCTCCGCCACTTGATGATCCACCTGCTGGTTCCAAGTTCATCCCGATCCTGTTGGGTTTACAGTTTGTTGTTCTGTTGTAATAAGTTCTCTGTCATTAACAGGAATGGTTTGCTAGAATGTAGCCAATAATCATATGGCTAATTCATTATCAATATCTTCTGTTTGCGGAGCTTGAGCTCTAACTCGATTTTTCATAGCGTATTTTGCTATCCCATTAATATTGTTCTTTATTGTTCTCTATTGAGGATTTGTTCTTTTGTTCATATCTCTCTCATTTCTTTCTTTCAATGCCAGGGGGTTAAGAAACTATTTGAAGTGCAAAGCAGTCTTTTTATTTATTAAAAAATGTAAATGAAATGTTTGTTTTATTCAGGAGTCTCACAGCACTATAGGTGACATGTCATTCTGGAAAAGTCTGTGGGGAAAATAAATATGGGCGGCACATGGCTCAGAGAAAACTGCTAGGGTTTTGATTGTAAAAGATAAATTTCCAGGGGAGGTAATGAGTTACTACAGGGACCCCAAGGGGCATCTCATTGTTATGGTTCTTGCTTCTCACAGCCTATTATAATAATGACCAACATGTATGGCTACAACTCTCATTCAGACAACAGGGAGTTTTTGAGTTATGGGATGAAAAAGTATCATCTTGGCTATCAAAACTTCCTGAAGCCTTTCTAATTTTCATTGGTGATTTCAATGTGATTTATGATAATAATGTAGACAGATACCCTCCTAGCAACTCTAACTCATCCAGTGGCTACCTGAAAGATTTTATGGATAGATTTGATGTCTTAGACATTTTTAGGGAAAAATTTCCTACACATACATTTTTTACATGGCGTACCAAAGACCTTTCTAAAAAATCCCGTAGTGACTTCTGGCTGGCAGCAAAGCAAGTCGATTCTGCTGCTGTTAATATCCTGCTCCTTTCTCTGATCATAAAATAATCACTTTAAGCCTTTCACTCTCGACGCCTGGCATTCCTAGAGCTGTCTGTTGGAAGATGAACAACAGTCTTCTCTCATATGAGGATGCTACTGAAACAATCAGATCCCTGATTAAATCCCATTGGGAGGAAGCCTGTAGATGTAACTCCTTTAGTCCTTTTTGGGAACTGTTAAAACGTGACATAGGGAAATTCATGAGGTCCTTCAGCAGTAACCTTGCAAAAAAGAGAAGGCAAGAGGAAGAAAGTCTTTGCTCTGAGCTTCTTTATCCATGATAAGCAATAATAACCTTAACGAGGATGACCTATTACTCCTTAATGAATGTCAAACTAAACTTGATGAAATATATAAACAGAAGGCTCGAGGCGCGTTTGTCAGGTCTAGAGCGAGATGGTTAGAGGAAGGGGAACAGTGTTCTTCCTACTTTGTTTGGTTTAGAAAAATCTAAACTTCATAACACTTTAGACACACTCAAAGTTAATGACAAGATAGTATCAGATCATAAAACCCAGGGATCATTTTGTTCCAATTTTTACAACAACCTCTAAATCAGGGGTCCCCAAGCTACGGCCCGCGGGCCGGATCCGGCCCGCCTCCTCATTTGGTCCGGCCCCCTGAACAATACCGGATCTGGCCTGCCTCCTCATTTGGTCTGGCCCCCTGAACAATACCAGACAGCATTCAATCTTTTTTTTCATATATATGTGGATTTTTCTTCAACCGCCAGGGGGGCTCTTGAGCAGATATGAAACTTAGTTTCCCTCAATGCAATATATACTAGTCAGTACCAGTCACCGTTTCGCTCACGGTTTTTTTCCATTTGCATTCTGGGTAAAAATCTATCTACAAACGCGAATATGTCGTCGGCAGTAATCCAATCCCCCCCCAGAAAAGGGCGCAGAAAATGTTTGGAAACCACTGGGGGGGTGCAGAAGAAAAAGTTTGGGAACCACTGCTCTACAGGAAGTAGAAGAGGCTATTTGAAGTCTTAAAAACAACAAATCACCAGGTAGTGATGGGTTGTCAAGTGAGCTTTATAATACATTTGTAAAAGAACTTAGTCCCTTTATTCTCAGCACTCTTTCAGAAAGTATTGGTCGTGGAGAATTGCCTCTTACTTTAACACAAGGCCTTATTATTTTGATCCCAAAGGCTGGCAAAGAAAAATTACTCATTGACAACTGGAGACCTGTTTGCTTTCTGAACAATGACTATAAAGTTTTTGCTGTTATTTTGGCCAGAAGAATTAGACAAACCAGTAACACTTTATTTGAAGGGGGTTGAATAAGACTGACATGACACTGTCATAAACTCCTGTCATGAACATGAAAAAGCCTTCATGAATATTTATGACTGTTGTCATCTTTTAATACAAAGTTGACATTATTCAAAATGTCTTTGTTATGACAACGTGACATTAACCAGGAAATCATTACTGTTTAAACTTTACCTTTAATAACATAAAGTTACCTAATTTTTAAAGTGCAATCAATAATACTTTTATAACAAATTTATATCAGTAATGATTTCTTGGTTAATGTCAAGTGACGCTTAAATACAACAGTCA